GGGGGGGGGGGCATTAGAGGTTATGCAAGCTTTAATGTAAGTACTTGCACAGCACAGTACTGAAGTGGTACAACCTCTAAACTGGGATGGCAACACTCAGGCATTCCCATGGTCTCCCAGGCTGACTGCTATTCTGCTTTAAAGTCCATGCTGCTGCATCTCTGCTGCCATTACCTCCATGGCTGGGTCACAGCTAGGATGGGGGAACACCTATTTTTCTGCCATCCTCATATTGTGTTTTCAACACTAGGCTACACTTGCCAAGACTGAACCGTGCATCAGTGCTACCTGTGTTCATTGCCTTCCTCTAACACACCTTTTTATAGTATGTAGCATCGGGTGAGACTGAACACGTGTGTGCGCTTGCTGTCTAAGGACCCTTTCTCCCTAATTCCACATTTCAATTAGCAAATAAAAGTACATTTTAAGAAGGTCTGTAATTAGAGTGTATCATAAGAAACATGAGTGTTCAGAAGAACAGTGCAGCCTGGAGGGCAGTGAATGGGCTGGTGTAACCTAGCCTGGCGCCAGGATGGAGGACATGAGGCTTCACCCCAGGGCAAAACAGGCAGGACATCTACACAGATGCTCACTGAGGGACCAGGACTCAGCACTGCTAGCCTTGTAACTGTGACGTGTCACTGGCATTCACAAGTTCAAAATCAGGTGAGTCCAAAGAGGGCTGTCGCCATTTATTTTCCAGCAGGTGACTCCGTGGCAGCCTGAGGCTGAGGACCTCTCACAGCAGGCTCCCAGAGCCCTGTACAGTGCTGCTCACATTTAGTCTGGGCAGCTCACAGGCCTCTGGCAAAGGGGCTTGCACCTCTTGTACGCTGGGGAGCATGGTCCTGCTGGGCTGAGTCTCTGCGAGTAGGGCAAGAGGACCCTTATGGAAACAGTTCTGCAGAGACCAAAGGATCCCTGTTGGGACTGGGAAGGTACCTGTGTCCAAGGTAGGCAGGTGGGAACAGGGACCCGTGGCTATAGGGCAAGGGGAGCTGCGAGCAAAGGATGGGGGAGCACTGGGAAGGAGGGTAGAAGCTCAAGGGTTTCCTTGGGCTGAGCATGAGCTCCAGCAGGGCAAACGCAACCCAAACAAACAGGTGAGAATAAGAAAAGAGCTTGTTTGCAGGGAAGGCAGCAGAAATTGTGCCTGTACCTTAAAATGGGAGTGAGGGAAGAAATGTCTTCTACTTGAGAAAGCACTGAAGAGCTTTTTGTAGCACACTGTAGGATGAGATATGACAAGCTGATGCTTCCCGTGTGATCCAGTTATTTAATGCAATGTGCAGCCCTTGGAAGCGTTAGTGCTTAACTATTACTGTTAAAACTTTAAAGGCTAAACTATAATTAGCTTCTACTTCTCAGCAGCTCCAAAGCTATGTTTCTGGCTTCTTTATGTATTTATGTGTATGCATAGATATGTGTGTGTGTGTGTGTATACATATTTTTTAAGGGAAGCAGCAGACAACAGAGATTTGTGAAATAGTCATACTGAATATCTAAAATGCTACCATTTCTAGTTTACACTACTAGTGAAACAAGTAGTGTACCCTCAAGAATACCCCTGCTAGGGGAAAGACAACTTTCTTGAGGGCAGAACTCAAGAGGAAACAAAAATAAGTACTCCATTTCTTCGGAGAAGAAAAAAAGGAGGCAAATATATGCCTGAAGGAAAGACCAGAAACTAAATCCCTAATTATACCCTGCAGTGAGCTGTCAGAAACTGGCAGCAGTGGGAGGGAAGGAGGCAAAACTGATCTCAGTGAGTTTGAGCATAATCTGCTCCAACTATACTTAAAATGCCTTTTGTGTGGGAAAGGAAGGTTCTGGGATTCTCTGACACATGTTTCTTACTGCACTTCTGTAATCCATTCAAATGCTCAGGGCTGAAGTTACAGGCAAGTGCAGAAAAGTTTCACCTAGCCAGCACCAAAATTCAAACACACCTTGGTTTGTCCACCTCCAAATGCAGGAACTTTGTGACTAAACTGCTGAACCAGTACTATGGTTTGGGGAACAGTCTTCAAAAGGATGTAAAAGTGTAAAAATCTAGCGCTTGTAATTACATTTCAGTTCAAAGAGCTTTTGATGCCATCATAAAATGCAAAGAGATTTTTTTCATGCTTGTAGCAGTGTAGGGGTTTGGCGAGTGAAGAGGATTTGGGGTTTTCTCTAAGTATTTTGCATTTACTCTTAGTAGACAGTGTGTTTTGTAACTGAGGAAAAAGTGAAAGCTCTTAGTAGCAGAACTGACTGGAAGAGAAAAGTTGGTTTATTATAGTGAATTAGAGAAAACAGCTTTCTTGATGGAACTGTTTGGCTCCTAGAGAACATGTAGCTGCCCTGCTGGTGTGTAAACTTTTGCAGCCGGGATCAGTAAAGGTCTTTAAGTGCTCAGTTTTCAGGAAATTGAGCATGTGGCTGCAAAAATCCATGAAGACTTGTGCTTTATAACTGAGGATAGGTTGATTTGGTAAAGGGTTTGGGCATGCCCCTGAAGGTCTAAGGTCTGTACCAGGGTGAGCAAGTAACTGCTTAGCTTGCGTTCAAGGCCCACCAGAATCTATAGGCTAAGCACTTCTCATGGCTTACTCTGGTAGGTATTTCTCACCGCATCCACCTGGGAACAAACTCCAACCTGAATAGGGTGCTCAGTCCCTCTGGTTCAAGCTGTTCCTTCTTCAGTGTTTCATGTTGTCAATGTTTAACTCTGCTCCTTGTGTTGGTTAAGGATTTCTATGGGACTCTAGCTTCCAGCTAAGGCTATCTCCTACAAGGGACACCTTAACCCTAGGATGCCCTTCTGCTTTGACTATAGTGTGATTAACAGCATTCTGAGATTAGTGTGATTAACAGACTGAGACAGTCACGTTTTGATCTCTTTCTGCCTAACTAAACCTTGATACACCCTATCTTGGGCAAGTGCTCCAACTACCAGAATACTGGATAAAAGGACAAGGCTAGTTAAGGCTTTTTATTATTATTTATTAGAGGTCAGGGCTATAGGTCCAGGATGGGAATTCTTGTCCAGTACCTCCAAAACTGCTTTTATTGCTTTATCAATTGTTCCTTTCTACATTGAGTTCTCAGGACTCTGAATCATGCTTTGTTTTGCTGTCTAATGTGCCTCCTGTGAGCTGTGAATTTTGTAGATGAAAAACCTTCTGGTAGAATATCTTGTAAGAACAGTGCAAGTGAATTGGCTGTTTCTAGATCATTAAAGCTAATGGTTTCCACCTAGCAGGATCTTTAATATTCCATTTGCTGAAACCAGTGGAAGCTTTTGGCTCTAATCTGAAAGCCTGCCAGTTAGCATGCCTCCCTAGCTCCACTCACCTTTTTCAAAAGGTACCAGGGCATGGCTCTTGTCAAACAAGTTTGGTTTGTTTTGCAATCACAAAGGGTTTAACACAGAGTCAAGTAAGCTTCTAGTGGTAAGGATGGCTTTCCTATGTCCTTAGGCTTGTTCTTCATCTGCAATAGCAAAGTAAGTTGGTGGCATCTAGCTTGCGGCTTCCCCAGGCAGCAGATGCAATAATTACAAATGCAGTTGCTTAGGTCAGGTCACAACTAAATGTCCACCCTGAAAGCATCTCATACACAGGTAGCATCCCAAAACTAGTCTTGACTGTGAACAGTCAGTCAGGGCATCATAGCTTGTGACGTGTCCTTTTATTCCCCTACAGACTAGGAATGGTCAAAGTTGCATTCATCTCATGTGACTCTGGCAGATGTGGAGCTTACAGGGAATCAGTTTGGCTTGGTCAAAAGAATTGCTGGAGGGGTATCTTTCAGGGTGGTTCCCTCAAGAAAATCTAAGAATGGCTTGATGAACAGAACAAAAGACAGAATTTGTCCTGATAACCTTCTAGGACAAAGATGTGAAAGAGATGAGGGTAATACTCCTGAAATGTACACACAGCAAGTTAAAATTTATTTCAACAAAAACATGTTTTATTATTTTATGTATATGCTAGATCAAAGGAGAAACTCTGGAACTGTGTTGAAATTAACATGAAATCTAAAATAATCACAGCTTTTGATTTCCCTGTATGATACATAATCACTCTGCTATAGTGCACACGACAATCTGAAACATTACCCATTTATTGGAGGGAAAAAGACACACTGGGTTTAAGGTGGGAAGGAGACAGTAGTGTTATATGACTCCCTGAATGCTAGGCTAGTAGTTGCATGTGTCCTGTGGAATAAAGGAATTGACCTCTTTGGCCACCATGTTATTGCATGACATAAAAGTTCTCTGCTTCAGATCCAAAACAAGGTCTAACCCTCCTCCAGTTCCTCCCTGCTATTCTCAGTTGCCTCACCTCACTGCATACTCCCTTTAGGCTTGACTAAACCCCATCCATCTGTGGAAGGCAGGAGTTGTTAGGATCAGGTCTTCACCGTGTTTGTTGTATAGGGCAGTGCACCATATAAATATTAAGGTATTAGATCAGCAAGTGAAGTCCCCTCTCCTGCTTGGTCCCATAATCTGCACAGAAGTATGCTTGCTCCAAATAAGAGGAATACAGCTTCAGAAATACTATTTCTGAGCAATACATGAAACAAAGGAAAAGTTTTGGTTCAGTCACACTTGAAGCTAATTCCAGGAAGCTGCAATTCCAAAGTAAAAGGATTTCACTGAATTCTAGCAATAACGGAGGTCCATTAATAAATGAACTGCAGATGAGCTAGAAGCCTGCACAGCACTCTAGCACAAAACTCATGGAACAGAAGACACTTGGCAAGCACTTTCATCTGTAGAAACCTTCCACAGTCAAGTCGGTATTCAACAGCAGCTGGAGAACCCGTATTTCGTACTCCATCTACCATGTCGATGCAATTCCTAGGCAGTGACTTGGACAAAGTGCACTGTTTCAAGGTGCTGAGCAGGGGAAGAAGGGAAAGGTCTCTCTGTTGCTCAGACTAAGGATAGCCCATCTCACTAATTAGTGCACAGACTAACAAGCAGAGCCTTTTATGCAAGCTTACTTGGTAAGAACTGGGAAAGGGTACAAAACTCTTCTAGATTCCTTCTCCCTTCTGTCCAATTTCAACTCACAAGCGAATGCTGATATGAAATTAGAAACTGCTTGTGATTTCTCAAAATTCTTCTGTACGTTCCTACCACAAATCCACCACCATCATTGGAGCAGCAGCCACTGCATCTGGCTCCACCTGGGATAGCTGATTCAGCAGCACTAAACCCACTGAAGAACACTGCAGTACCTTGTCTTAGAGTAACTGGCACCACAGTCTTAACAAGAAAGAGTTCTGCCAAACGTCACTGCACAGACAGACGGACAGTATTTCTGCAGATAAGTATCTACCAAATTGAGAGTGTGACTAGCAGTTATTGCCAGCAACCAGCTCTCTGAGGTCTATGTAATCATGGCCTAGAAGACCGTTCCCAATTAATCCTGTGAAAAATACCACCCAAGTTAGCAAATACTGCAAGGAAAGGGAGAATTCCTTTCTGCACTGAATGGCACCTCTGGAAAGTGAGGCTGAGGGACGCTGGAGCTTGTTTATGAATAACGGGTTTCGGACCTCCAGTTTCAGGCCTTTTACAATGGGTCCATAGCACAGCTGTGACAGTGGAGACATGCTGAAAGTTAAAGGACCTTCCCTGTTATATGCAAAGTCCTTCCCTGTACTTTTCTGGAAACTGGAGACAAGCCCTTGTCTTGTGCAAGTATATGAAATGGTAATTTCTTTTTCTCACCAGTGAAAGACAAAAGATTAAAATCTAAGATTGTGTCACATTACAGCTGCCTTTAGAAGCAGCCAAGCGATTCTTGTCCTGATAAGACAAAGAAGAACCCCCGCTAGCACTAAGAGAGGAAGTGACTGCTTCCCACTATGGATTTCACAGGAGGGAAATTCGCCCAAAGAGGTGTTTTGCTGCTCCTATTCAGAAAATAAGGTATAGAGAAAGAAGCCACAGTGAATGATCTGTTTGACTGGGTCACCCAGTCCCCTTCAGATGCAGAGCCTGGAATGGCATAAGAACAGAGCCTGCTCTGCAGTGTGACCTTCCTAGGAAGATAAATCAGTATCAAGAGGATGGACAGCTGCTGAAGTAGAATGTCAGTGCACACGGATGCTGAGATATGAATTAAGAACAACTCAATCTTCTGTGCAGAACATCTTGTTTGTACCCTGTGTATGGAGCTGCGTGGTAAAGCAGGAAGAAAGAGGAGGCAGAGCAGACCTATTTCTGATCTCTGTGTGGTGTGAGCTGAGAATAACTAGGAACACCAACTTAGTTGTGTTGGCTCCAAAGGTCTTCCATCACATACACAAACTGATTTATGCTTCTAAAATCACAGTGCTCCTCTGGAATGAAGACACTCCTTGCTGAGCCAGTCTTTCATATGGGGTTTTTCAAGCAATGCTTCCTTAGCTTCTTTGGACTGTCTAAGGAAACATAGGTCTTGATCTTTCTCTGGATAGCCCAAATTAAGGGAACAGAAGCAACAGAAGGTGCATGTCATTAAGGATATGGAAATGTTCCTGGGCAGGCAAGTCCCAGCTACTACTTCATGTTAGGAGGCACTCTACCTGCATGCTAAAGAAAAAGGAGGGAACAGGGATCAGACCATATGGGGTACTCCTGAGCTGCAAACCACAGGAGGGAAAAGAGGCAAAAAGAAAGTGAAGGACGGATCCACTTGTACTCTTAAAGATGAAGACTGGGGATATGGGGCCCAGGTACCATCCTGGCTTGATGATCTCCTCTTTCAATCCTTGCATGCAAGGAAGGAGCGAAGGTGGACTGTGACTGTTTCTGGTTGGCCCTTGTTTCAAAGAAGGGCCCCTCTTTGGAAGCTGTGCCAGCTGGGCCAAGGGCATGTCCCTTGCAACAGCTGGGATCAAGGTGGGTACTGAAACACCCTCTTGCTGCAGCACTGAGTTCTGGGCAAAGCCAAGTCTGGAATTTCAGACTCTCTGGTTTCCTCTGCTATTGAAAGCAGGCTGCTGGCTTCCTGGCAGGATGCAAAAAGGCAGAAGTGTTCACAGAATGCTAGAGGAACAGAATAATGTAACTTTTCGCTTGGCCCTGCAGCATGTTGCTCTGTCTACTGCAGCTTCCTTTGAGGGCTCCACTTCTCCATAGCTGGTTGACAACTGCAAAATGGGACTTTGTTTCAGACTGCAGTGGAAAATCTCCAAGCAAACAGAATTCGTTAAAATCCATAGGCACTTACTCTTCATAAGGAGAATGTTAAGACTTAAAAGCCTTCCCTTGGCACAGTGCCACCAACACAGTTTCTGGTGTGCTCACATCACAGACTGGACGGATAGTATATTGTACGAATGGTACATCAGCTGATGGTGGCTCCTTGCACAGGGAAGAGCTTCATCCTCAAACACACTGCAAAAAGGAGGATGAGCTTGCCTTGTCTTCACGCACAAAGGGTGGAAAAGAAAGAACTCTGATGGCTGAACAAAACTGGGATTGCCAGAAAAAGGCTCTTCCTTATACCCTGTTTCCATTATGGCTCAATTATTATTAGGAGCAATGTACGTTCACAGTTGAAAGCCTGCTGGCAGATGTCAGGACTGTGGAGTATCAGTAAAAGTAAGGGGCTTTTAGTGCTGAGACAGGGAGTTTTCTTTCATGTTGGCTGGATTGGAAGATCACACCAGGTCTCTCCCTGTCCTTTCCCTCTTCCCTTTCCAGTACAGAAAATTCCCTGCTGGTAGGTCTTTAGGCACACCTGTCTTAACTCTAGCTCCAGTCCTCCTTCTTGAAAGCAAGTTGCACAGCATCATTCACATCCTGAACTATGTAAGATGCCTCAACCAGGCTGGGGTCAAAGCAGAAGTCCCGATGGCCGTGGAATACTATCTCTGTTGTGTACTCCTCTGTTTTACTGGGAACACCTGCATTGTGGCGGTAGACCCCAGTGCAGACTAGAATTGACTCGCAACTCTCCACTGAATTGTTGCAGTCCTTCCTCAGATGGAGGTCATCCACAGTTTGGGGACTGGCTGCCTGCAGGCTCCTCTTCACCCCAGCCTGGGCCTGGTTCTGGTGAGCTGACTTGAGATAGTTGTTGTAGAGGTTTGCCCCATAGATATCGGACATAGGGTTATCCCTGGATAAGTCAGTGTGAAACAGAAATGAGAAACTAGCCCATGCATCAATTTCTGGCTCTGGCAGACTGGGATTAAGGCAGCACTAAGGGAGGAAGGGGTGCAAAATGTTTGCTAACATCAAGAGAACCACCCAGACTGGGCCAGTGAGTCAACCTACTGGTGTGACCTGTTCAGCTGTGGTAAAGGCCACATGCTTCTCAAACATCTTTCAAAGGGGAAAAGACAGGTCCAAAGCAGTCCCAGCCATTACTGTAATGTATTCCCTATGATCCCAAAGTGTTTGGCCTACTAGGCTAATGGTACTACATCTGGGTCTCTTAACTCTTCCTTTAATCCAGTCATGCTACATGCACTCTGCATCCTACGGAAACAGCTTGCTAGGCTGACAGGGCCCTCCAAATTATTTAAAATGTAGGGTGCAAAAAGCTAGCAAGCCTCTGTTCTAGTATGTGAGGGTCCAGAGACACCATGGGGATTTTGGTATTCATTTTCGAAATGTCTGTTCAAAAAAACACTTGGGAGAAGTCAGTACGCAACTCCCTAAGGAAATCAGTAGGAAAAACAGTCTCTTACCCAACTGCATAGAGGCGTCGGATGGGAGACTTCCAGCCCTGTTTCTCTGCTTGCTGTTTTATCAAGTATTCAGCATAGCGGTAGGTGACTGTGCTGGGTTTGCCGATCAAGGCCTCATACTTCAGCTCCCGGCCTGTCACTTTCTTGTAGATGTTCTCCAAGCACAGAAGAAAAGTGCCATGGCCAAACCTGCTCCAGAAAGGAGGTCATCAGTATCCCTAGACACACCACTTAAGTAGCAAACCCTCCTCAGTGAGGAGAACCATCTGCTGTAGCCAGGGTACTGCCTAGTTTGGATATGGTAACTACCCACCCATAAGCAGTGGTCTGGCTTTTGCTTCTTGAAAGCTTTAGTCTTTGCTTCTCATGCAGTTTTCATATCTCTGCTGCTAATTATGCCATACAGTCTTAATACTAAAGAATGTAGTAAGAAAAGACCATCTGCAGGAGAGCTGTATGAAGTAGCCTAAAACAAATACCACACGTGTTTTTCACCTGGGCATCCTGGCTTCAGCCATCCACAGGAGATCCATGTTGCAGGCAAGGACAGGCAGATGGGGGTATGGTATATCTTGCAGCTCTGCCCCAGGGTTCCCATTGCTCAAGAGTACATCAGTAATAAGTTGCAGGCTTGTCTCCCACCTCACCGGCTCACCAAACAGAATCACCCCTGGAAGATTTCAAGAGACGCTTGGAAACTCACAGCATCCAAGTACAGACCCACTACCAAAAGCTACCCGCTAGCAAAAGCACCCTTCTGCTGGGATGCAATGGCTAATACAGCTATGACCCGAACATAGCTTGTGCCAGAGCTCCAGCCTGCATATCACTGTACCACATGCACCGCTGCTTCCAGATGTTGGAGCTGGCACAGAGAAAAGTTAGCTTTGCACTTATCAGCTTCTGCTTCATGCTGTGTGAGGGTGGCAAGGCTACCTCCTGACCATATCCTCTGAATAAGCTGCCTGTTGATACCCATGAGCTAACAGCACATCATTAGCTCCCATTCCAGCTGGCCTGCCTGTTATTTCTGCTTGCTGCTCATATGTAAACAAAGGCTATTGCTTACCTTCTATAGTGGGGAAGCCAGTGGTTGGAGGCGGCTGCCAGAAAAAACAAAAACTTGGTTAGTAATGCAAAACCTAATGCCATCTCCAAAACAAAACTAAAACTGCTTCCTTTGAACCTGCCAAGACAGTTCCATAGAGAGGCAGGGCAAGGCCACCCGGAATCCCAAAGACAGATTTCTCCTACCCCACCCCCCATCCCAGATTGGATTTCACAGATCATGCATTCCTGTGTCAGTGCTGGAGATGTCAACCAAACCGTCTCACCACTCCACTCGCTGCAAGGAACAGCAACAAAGGACGAGTATGGCATGAGAAAGGAGAGGAGCAAGTCACTGCCCTTCCAGCAGGAGCCAACGCTGGAAAGAGCAGAGAGATGCTGGTGGCTTTGTACCAGTCCCAGGCTCTTGCTAAAGCAGGTCACTAGCAGCAGGCTGCTCTGTGCCTCTGCAGCTTCTCCACCCCATGCTATATGCTGTAAGGGCCACCACACCGGACCACCCATTCTACCAATGCATGAGGAAATTACCAGCTCCTTTGGCCTCCGGCTCTGATCCACCATGTCTAACAGGGGATAGGCCTTCCTCAGTGCCTCTATGGTGACCACATGCTTGAATCCCAGGCTATTTCATACCATCAAGGAAAGATGTGGAGACTGTTGGTTGTTTTGTTTTTTAAGTGCAAAGGCATCTACAGGATTAAGAAAAACAAGTCCTAGTAGCAGAGCAGTTATTTAACCTGGTAATGCATAACCTCATGGCTTTCAGTCAAACTGCATGCTGTACTTCAGCCTAAAGGTGGCCCTAAAGCTTACATAAAAAACCCAGACTGTGATGATTTACTTTACAATCAGCAATCCCTGGAAATAGGCAAAGAGTTCCAAGACAGAATGGATGGGCTTTGGGAGATCTTTAAGGCCAGGGTTCTTGTATTGGTGCAGTGCAGGGGGCTGGCCAGGCTTCTGGGCTAGAAGCAGAATCAGTGAAGCTCTGGTCAGCTCAGCTGGCAAAATGAAAATGGTCTATGCTCATAAAACTATACAAGCAAAGGATGAATTGCATTCACTTGCAGAACATCTTGCCCTTAGCTTGCCCTGCTGCGCCTGGGGAAACAGAAACAGGCCAAGATGTTGTACAAATGAAGTGAAATGTCAAGTACAAGGTGTGACTGTGTGCACAGGCCAAGATATTGAACCCTGCAGGCAGACACAGGGTACGTGAGACCTGCTGTGCCCTCATTTTAGCCAGGCAATACACATAACTGTCATTTAGACCATGTCCCTGTACTGGAATGCTCTGGTTCTAATGATATCTGAGTTCCTTCAATTGCTGTCAGATTCCTGGGAAAAACCTTAGCTGTAGGAGAGTTGGGAGTGATCTCTAAAGGACTCTGCATTAGAAAGAACGGGAAGGAGCACAATTTTATCTCAAAAACGAGAGAAGCTCAAAGCCAATGGAGTCCTCACAGTGACATCTGACCTGCAGGAACAGCAGTGCAGCTCACAGGAGAGGTAATCAGCGTGAGAAACCAAAGACAGACCAAGGACAGCCAGGAGGTAACCGAGATGGAGATCAACAGTGCCTGCATTTGAGCCTCTCCATGAGGATGCCTCCTCATCAGTTGAGACCAGTGACCTTTCTGTCTCCTTACACTTCTCCAAGCTGACTGAGTGAGTGCAGGGCAGGAGCAGCACCGTTTAGCTGGGAAGCTGCAGTGGGACGCGCAGAGCAACACCAGGCACTCTCAGCAAAGGATACTCCTCGGCGTTCTCCTCCACGGGCCCCTGCCCGGCCACCAGCATGCACTTCTGGTGGAACTGGTTGAAGAGCCGCAGGGGGCTGTGGGACAGGATCACCTGCTCCGGGGACACCTGCGGGAGGGAGGACAGGCTGCATTTCCCCCCCTTCTCCCTGCGGTCGGATCCGGTCCCATCCCTAACCCTGGCTGCCACCTGCCTCCCTCCATGCCGTCGGTCCGAGGCAGGGCCGGTCGCTCGGTGGTGCTGCCCCCCAGCCCTTCACCCCTCCCGGGGAAGCCGCGCCGGGTGGGCTCCCTCCCGCCCCCATCGCTGCCCCGCCGCCGGTAC